TTCTTGAAGAGAGTGAACTCATCATCTACCATTAACCTTGGTCCACTGCCGAGAAGAGATATAAGGTGCTCACTTTCTAGGCTTAGAAGCTGGTCTGGCGTCAGGACACTGAAGTTGCACAGCAGACTTTGGAGGCACACCTTGACTATTTCACGCATGCCAAATTTCAAGGCCGACCGAATGAAGGTGACGACTTCCTGAGCATCGTTCTGATTGTCGCGGATGAATTCGTCACAGAGCTCCCTTAGCTCTTTCACCAAGTACTTGTCAGCTAGCAGGGCCAAAGGTAGGACGTTTCCTTTGGTCAGGTCTACAGAGGCAGTATAAAGAAACTTGAGGAAGTCGCCGAAAAACTCTTTACAACATTCTTCCTCGACGAGATCCTGACACTTTGAGGTTGGTTGTTCGGTCGTGTCATTCGGTTGCCAAGATGAGTTACAAAGCATCGTCTTGAAGACATCGCTCCATGCACTGAGCACCAGGCGATGGGCGTGGAACCTTCGATCTCCAACAACTAGGGTGACGTCACTGTAGCGTTGCTCATCATACAGGGTCCCTGTTACTCTGCTGACTGCATCTACGCTGACGCGCACATTGCTGAGCAGGTTTTGCTGAGCGTTCTGGGGAAATATGAAAAGAGTACTTTTAATCATAATATGTCGACATTGATGGGTGTAGTCACTTTTAAAATTACATTTTTGACCATCTTTTTCTCGCATAAATTTGTATCGACATATGGTAGTCTTTTTACGTTGCAATTGCAGTGGACTCATAAACCGTTCGCAGGCTCAACCAGAGGGACTTTCATTTTTAATACTGCATAACCGGTATACACTGGCTTATTTGGTAACCGGAAATCGATTTTTGTTAGATGTAATTTTACTGTATGTTATTATATGACAACGTGTCACGCTACTCTCTGCACATCATGAGTATCCTAGAATTTTTAATTTCTCTTCTTTTAGAAGTCTAAAGTGAAGTAATGAGCAAAATAAATAGTTATATTATTAAGATCATTGGTCATGATCATAAAAATTTAAAAAGCTCAGAACTGGGCTATAAAACCTGAAACTTGAAATGAAATGTTCAGTTTATTACAAGTTAAGATTCGAAGAAAAAAAACTGAATCATGTCAAGTATTTTTTTTTCGGGGGGGGGGGGAGTATATATTCGGAAATGAACATGGTCACATCGGGCCCTAAATACTGGATCATTTAATGTTATGTAGTTACCTTAATATTTCCAGTTTCTTTCCTCTCTTGTTCGGCCCTATGCTTCACAACAAATGTATGACGATGTGACATTTCAATGTCAACTATCGTCATATCCTTAGTACCATCGTCATCGTAGTCATTGCAGTCATCATACACGCCGTCGCTGTCATCAGACATCTTGGAACATGCAGTATACTTTCAGTCTGTGTAAGTACGGATCAAGAAAATCCTACATAAACGCCTTCAATCTCCTATTGATGATGGATACTACCTCTTATTTTATAGGAGATCCCCGGAGGTGATCCTTTATTTTCTTCTATAATAATTAATACAATCCGTCATTGGTGACGATGAATTCAATTCAAATTTATGTTAAATGTAATAGTCCAAAAGGAAATTCGTTGCCTTTACATGCATTATTCACAGAAAAATAAATGTAAATGAGACAAGATACATACATCATAAAACGAGTATATAGAGATAATAAACATATAGCACTTTAACTTTCACAATAGCATTTCAGTACATCTTTAAAGGTACAGACGAGTTTTGGAAACGCCCCCTCTCAAACAATGAAATGGAAGCTCTTATTACCAATCATGTGAAAAAATATGCTTTGACCAATACGTGATGATACAAATTTTGCCGGAAAACCGCCTACTCATTGCTATATTTGGTAAAACTATCCGGCCTGGATAGATATCGCGTAGTCCCATATACATCTTTCTGTGTACAGTGCTTGCAATTTTACCAAGACTGGGCCAAATATCTTATCTTTTTGATGATTCTAGAACCTTGCAGTAAACATAAATACCTATAGGCTAGATAATCAACCTTTTCTGATCAATTCCACAACGTTTCTTTCACATGCAATGCAATCGCATGACCAGAACTGGTCTATACCTTTAACGTCATCGCATGCAAAAAATCGAACACTTTTTGTATTTAAATTCGAGGTGCAACTTCAACATTTTTTCACTCCTCGGTGTCGTTTCATCACCTTCAGTCTGGACGCATACATGGCTTGGGTTCCCGCGCTTTCTCAGTACTTGTCGCTCTCCTACAGCATTATAATAATCATAATACTGTATTCCTTTCAAATAGTCTTCATCAGCATATTCTTACATGCATGAGCGTGGGCCTATAGCATCTCTCATACAGAATAATGCGTTCATACCTCTAAGAACTGAAAAATAGTTTACTCTCTTGCTGAGTGAAGCACTCATCATCCCGCTCATCGTCGTCACCACGCTCATCGTCATCACGATCATCACCATTATAATCACAATGATATTTGACAATTAAGTACACAAACCATCGCCGTACTTGTAGAAACGATGCAATCAAGTACTATAAAAATTAATATATATATGTATATACATGTACAAAAACACAATGATGCTCGTAGACGAAGTGTAGGCCTACAAATTTCTTCGTCTACGGAGCATCATTATTTCTTGTATTTTTGTGCATTTTTTCGAACTCAAATATAGACTTTCTTGTGCATATAAAATTATGTGTGTATATCAGAAAACATTTTGAAGAGATTGTTATAGGACGAACTTACCAGTTGTTACTGTTAACTGTATATATACTCTTGGCAGTTGACCTGATCCTCACTGACTGAAAATGACTCTCAAGTTGTGAACGAGTTCAAGATCCCGCACAAATGGCGCACGCTAACATAAAGCTCACTGCAGCTTCGTAAACGGCAAATGGAAAATGTTTGCTTTAATAGCATGATTCTTTTGCGTGCAGTGCATATGGCGTCAATATTTCACTGTTTGATGAAGGTGTGGAAAAAACCCGCACCCAATTAGCTCCACCTCAGCTGAGCGTGCGTGGGCTCGGGTTTTTCCAAAAGAAGTGGCATTACACATTATTATTGTCCCATCGAGCATATGTAACATATTATACCACAAGTCTACAGCGTACATGCATGCACTGTGCTAGTGCATTATATACAGTTATATTAACAGTTCGGTCTCACAGTGGTCAGTACAGTGTGGCTAAAACAGGTATGTTCTGGGCTCAAATTTGATTTTGCCTTCATTGAGATACAATTGACTTATTTTTACACTGTCGCTCATATAGTTGGAATATTTTTTTGTTACCCCAATTTATAGAATTATTTTTACAAAGATTTGTTATATACATTCTCAGATTTTATTGAATAATAATTTGCCAGTGTTTGTTTTGCCTGACTGCTAAAGCATGTGTATGCTACTATATGCTTATCAACTAGGGGACCTACGCCCTTAAGTCGTAAATGACAGTAATGAGCTAGGATTAATGCCCCACAAAAGGGCTCTAATGTAGCACATCGACACGGTTTTGATCCTGGGGCCTTACAGTTACGAGGCCATTGCTTTGCCACTCAACCCTGACTGTACGCAGTTGGGACTAGGGTAGGGGGCAGTTCCCCCACAAAAAAAAAAAAAAAAAAAAAAGAATATGCAATATATTATCAATTATTCAGTGAATTTCCGGATATCCCCCCGGTCCCCAACAGAAAAAATCTTCTGTGTGCCCATGCATTGAGCCATATTGCATGGCCGTCCAGATGATTTTTTTATTGTGGGGACCGGGGTAAAATGCAATAAATTATTGAAAATTTATTGCATTTTCTGTTTTTTTTTTAATTTATGGAAACTGCCCCCTACCCTAGCCCCGCTGCGTACAGTCATGGTTCAGTGACAAAGCAATGGCCTCGGGATCAAAACCGTGTCGATGTGCTATATTAGTGCCCTTTTGTGGGGCATTAATCCTCATTACTCTCATTTATGACTTGAGGGCGTAGGTCCTCTAGTTGATAAGCGTAGTAGCACACACATGCTTTAGCAGTCCCGCAAAACACACATTGGTAAATTATTGTTCAATAACATCTGAGAATGTATACTATTATCTAGATCTATTATTTTTAAATTATTTTTAAAATAATTCCATAGATTGGGGTAAAACCAAAATATTCCAACTTTATGAGCGACAGTGCACAATAAGACAAATAAAAGTATCAAAATATTATGATTTGTTTGAAATGTTATAGATGCGGCTCCGGCATTAATATTAGAACAGCTGTATGGTATCCGTTTCATAAAGCCTTTTTCAATGAAAAATCGGTGACAAATCTGCTGATAACCAATCAGAAGTAAGGATTTCACTAGCTTATAACAAAACCTGTCATTTGTCACTGACGACAAGTTTTGTGAAATGGGGCACAGATATGTATGTCCGGGCAGCGTTATTTTTTTTCGGCGGCACAGATTGGGGTTAGGTGCGTGTTGAGCCTATGGGAAAGTTTAGGGTTAGGGTTAGGGTTAGGGTTCAATCAAGACCTCTTTTATTTTAAAGCCCCAATCTGCGCCGCAGAAAAAAATGACGCGTCCGGGCAATTATAGATTGAGTTTTCACCTCATGCACGTCATGCACGCTTATAATAATTAACACTGGGTTAAATGTTTTAATTTACATCATTACGTTATCAAGAAGCACTGTGGTATTTATAAAGAGTCCTTACTCTCATATACGAAGGGTCCATTCTTGAACGGTGCTTACAGCATCCTTGGACACCATGTTTTGCCTACATTTGTCCCTCTCACTCCAGGTTTTTTTTTTAAATAGGTTATATCTGCTGCATGGTGTTACAAAAATTGAAGGGTCAGCAGGAAGAGTATAATACTGATGACGTAGCTACTCTTGGTAAATGAGACTAAATGATAGTTTTAAATCGTTTTTTAATTTATTCATATTTTCTCGTAGGAAGAGGGTCGAGAGACAGCTGCTGCAATGGATCCAAGTAAAGATGGTAAACGGTCCTATTCATGTCGGAGCGCCCTGTCGAAGAAGTTAGTTCCTTTCCTGGTCAGGGAAGAACTTACAGACATCCATGTCAAGGTTGGTCAACGAACATTCGCTGCTCATCGGCTCGTACTGGGTTCCTGGAGCGATGAACTGGCAAATCTGATGACTGCCTCTCCTGATAACGTCATGGAGCTCGCTCAGAATGCCACCGACAAGGAGATCGAGGTTTTTGAAACGGTCTTGAATTTCCTCTACACGGGCGAGATGAATTTCTCATCGGGCAACGTGAGAATGGTGATAAGTCTGGCCAAGAGACTGGGACTCAAGAAGTTGGGCGAGATGGCTCGGGACTGGGTAGGAGACATGATAAACCAAGGGAGTATGGTCGGCGCCATCACGTGGTTGAGGGATACAGATGAATACGACTACACTTCCTTGAAGAACGATTGCCTGCGTACACTATCTCTGTACTTCCAGTTCATCCCAGAGGCATCATGGTTAGGATTAAGTCTGAAGGAGCTTTGTAGTATCCTGGAAATGAGGGATCTTGTTGTAGATAATGAATTGGAGGTGATCACTCGTGTGGATAATTGGGTAAAGGCAAAAGGCAGCATAGAAGACAACAAGGATCTTTATCTCGAAATAGTCCCCAAAATTCGATTTCCTTTAGTCGAAATATCAGAAATTTTGCATCTCCAAGAGGCTTCACCAATCGTCAAATTCGCAACTGAATATTTTCCTTCGATTTTGACTGAGTCGTTCAAATATAGAGCTCTCTCCAGCGAAGTAGGTCTGCATGTCTACGATGCCGATAGCCGAAGTAGCCATCTTCAAGCAAGTTACGATTTTCTCAAGAAATCAGACTTTCAACCACGACTGTACCTGGACTTTCTGCCACCCGGAAAGGTTAGCAGTTCCCACCGCTAACAAAGATCACAGCGTCACAATGGTTACTTTGAAGAGATTAGCATCGATTCCTACAAATCCGACATGAAGTGTGAGGTCAGGAATGCCACCGGAGCTTGGTCAGTGGAAATTCAACCCCGATTCTTGAATTTCGTGCTGAAGCTGGAGCCTATCCAAATGGGAGACACCGAAGCCTGGAGCGTGAGATATGAGATCACATCAAGCAAATCGTATCAATGCAATGCAAGTTACGTAATGGTTCTTGTAACAAGGCCTCAGGACAAAGACTCCGACTTCTATCTACCTGAGAACCCCATAGTGATGACGAAAGAAGATTCTTTGAGCAAGTTATCAGGTATCAGTCCTTCAGATACTATCAGTGTTTCCACTCAGCCGATCTTTGCTGGAAGAAAGCCAAAGAAAGTAGAAGTTGCAGCCATTGTGTATTTGATGATGTCGGAACCCTCCGATGTTAGAATCATGACTTCGTTATATCCGTTCTTGGATGCTTCGACATAAGCTAATGCTTAATGATAGAAAAACATAGTTACGCATTGTTGGAACATCCAGACAAGTTTCAAAGCTAGGTGTTGATCATAATACCAGTTGGAGACTCGGAAGTGAAACCGTCAAGCTCTGTGAGAAATCTGGGTGTATTGCTTGACTCTCGTTTAAACATGGAGAAACACATATCTAACACATGTAAATCTGCCTTTTGTATGTTATACAATATCCGTCACATTCGTAGATACTTAGACCGGAAAAACTCAGAAAGCCTTATCCAGGCTTTTATTAGCAGTAGGCTTGATTTTTGCAATGACTATTGTTTGGCTTGCCAGATTCACAAATAATCAAGTTGCAGCGTGTTCAGAATACTAGTGCAAGACTTGTGTCTAATTCCTCAATTGTTTTCCATATTACATATGTTTTGATTGAATTACATTGGTTGCAAATAAGGTACAGAATTGAAATCAAAATACTTTTGCTTGTTAACAAAGCATTGAATGGTCAAGCCCAAATTAAATGTCTGAATTATTTTCTTTTAAATAATATCCATACGTGAAGTTGACAGGACAAGCTGCTTCTAAAGCTACCTCACACAAAAACAAAAGAAATTCTTGGAGATTGTGTTTTCAGTTGCGCCGCTCCAAAGCTTTGGAATATAACTTACCATTAGACATAAGAACGGCCTCATCTGTTGCTGTCTTCAAAGATTTGTTGATGACGCACTTGTTTTCAGGAGATTTTGAATAGTTTTGTATTTAAAAAAGAATATTGGTTTATTTTGTGTCTGTCAAGTAGTACTGTTTAGAAGTTTTGTTTTTCATCACAGCGCAGTAAAGTATATTTCCATAGAAGCTGCGCTAACAAATATAAATCGAATTGTTATTATTATTATTATTCCGTGAAACTTATATAAATACCTTTTTCACCCAGCTTCTTTACTCTTTACACTTTGGGAATGGCGAATGGTATTAACGAGATTTTTTAATGCAATTTCAGATAAAAACCTGTATAGCGGTGGTCGTCAGATTTTTGTCATGGGCATGGGGAGGGGGGGGGGAATCATCATTTACAATTTACAACGTTCCTTTCTATTGTTATTGGTCGCAGTTCCGCTTTGTGTCCCTATAATATCTATCTCCCAAATAATCATGATTAACCAATTGTGTTGAACTATAAACAGTCTTCTGCCTGTAAGTAAATGCAGTAGCTCTTTTCATTTGTATTATATTCTACGGGTGGATCCGGAGGGGGGGGGGGGGGGGGGGTCCTTTGGATCCAAAACCCATTTATGTGGTTTGTGGCTCGTCATTGATATAATTTATGAGAATTAGAGCCCACCCCTCTTCGTAATAACACTTCATCTTAATTAATTTAGATATTTTTGTTCATATTCTTTGCTTGCTTGTCATTTTGCGGTGTGCTTGAACACCTTACAAATCAGCTGACCGTTAAAAGATTTGTCACTAATTGTGTTTGTTATACGTACGCTTTGGGGGAATCGGACCCCCCCCCCCCCTTTCCAAATCCTAGATTCTCCCCCAGAGTACTTTATCACTTTGAATCAGCCAAGGTATCCCCTCATACATCTGCAGTTCTGTGGAAAATGAAACGGAGATGGAAATGAAATCCTATACGTACATACCAAGACTTCAATTTAGCATCATGCATTTTCCCAATTTGATCTGTTTTTTGTTTAGTTTAGTTTATGTCTACCCGTACTCTTATATGATTAGCCATATGTCTTTGGAAAATAATGTAAAGAAGGCCATTTACTTTGTTGATAAATTCATAAACATTCTCATTTCATCTATCTTATCTTTGTAATTTGTCAAACATAATTACCCTCGTAGTATATATTTGATGTTATTATTATTATTAATTTTCGTTATACTGGCTAATATATTGGAAATTTGGAACTCCTGTTATGTCATGAACCAAAGTTTGATTTCCGTTTCTTTTTGTATTTTGTGGACGTATTTGTTTTGTCGTGACACAGAAATTGTTACTGTTACTATACTATCATGATTATAAGAAAAGTGATTTGTATCTATCAGAAAAGGAGCTGAAATAAGTACACTATACATGACATGTGATACATTTCATTATTGATGTACATGTATTTGGTTGTTGCACTTAGAGACTTCGGTGGTAAGCGCTTTATAAGTAGCGTTTGTATTATCATGATTATTATTATTGCTTCCTTTACTTGTATTAAATGGAATCAATTATAATTGTGTCTTTTTAACAAGCCGCTTGTTTTGAGATGTAAAGAAAGGTATAATTTCCTTTACTCGTTTAATGCTATCGAAGCTTCTGGGCGAGATCCCGGCGCGGTTCTAGAATAATTTTTAGTGGGGTAGGGTCTTGGAGTCAGGGGCGTCGCTAGACCTTTTTCAGTGGGGGGTGTAGAGGCCAACGATTACCGACAAAACTAGCCACCAATTACCGACAAAATTAAATGTCCAATATCTACAAATTCAACCCTATAAACCTGGGGCCGAAGGCTAAATTGTTTTTCCTATGGAATATCTATAGTACTTGCATATGCGCAAAATGGTCCTTTTCCTCGACGACATAAATATACGAATTATTTCTTCAATTTAGTCAGCTTCATAGCTATATATTTTAATGCAGGCGAGGAGCTAGGATCTTATTTTACGGAGGGGCGGTAGTGAGCAAGAGAATCACTGAAAAGCGCGCTCATTAGGGGGTGTGGGCGATTGGCCTCCCGCGCGAAGCGCGGGAGCTTAGACGTTTCCATAAATTATTAGGAAAAAAGACGATTAATTGTACCGTTTTCGACTGGTAATCCTTGGCTGAATGAAGTTTCCCCCCCCCCCCTCCCGCGCGAAGCGCTAAAGCTTTGACGTTTCATTAAATTATCACAAAAAAAGAAGACGATTTGCTGTACCGTTCTCTACTTTTTATCCTTTTCTGAATTCAGTTCCCCCCCCCCCTCCCGCGCAAAGCGCGGAAGCTTTCACGTTTAATTATATTATGAGAAAAAGCAGACGATTCGGTGTACTGTTCTCGACTCTTAAACCTTGTCCGAATTCAGTTTCTCCCCCTCCCTCGCCAAGCTCGGAAGCTTTGATGTTTCATTAAATTATGAAAAAAGCAGACGATTCGGTGTACTGTTCTCGACTCTTAATCCTTATCTGAATGAAGCTTCCCCCTCCCGCGCGAAGCGCGGAAGTTTTGACGTTTCATTAAATTATTAGAGAGAGAAGACGATTCGTCGTACCGTTTTCGACTCTATAAGCCCTATTCATCTGAATTCAGTTTTTCCCCCCTCGCGCGAAGCGCGCAAGCTTTGACATTTCCTCATGTCATTAGAGAAAGAACACGATTCGTTGTACCATTTTTTACTCTAAATAAGCCCTATTAATTTTATCTGATTTCAGTTTCCCCCTCTCGCGCGAAGTGCGGAAGCTTTGACGTTTCCTTAAATTGTTAGAGAAAGAACACAATTCGCTGTACCGTTTTCGACTCTAAATAAGCCCTATTATTTTTTTCTGAATTCAGTTTCCCCTTCATGCGCGAAGCGCGGAAGCGTTGACGTTTCCTTAAATTATTAGTGATAGAAGCAGATTCGTTGTACCGTTTTCGACTCTTAAACCTTATCTGATTGAAGCTTCCCCCTCCCGCGCAAAGCGCGGAAGTTTTGACGTCTCATTAAATTATTAGAAAAAGAAGACGATTCGTCGTACCGTTTTCGACTCTTAATAAGCCCTATTCATCTGAATTCAGTTTCCCCCTCTCGCGCGAAGCGCGAAAGCTTTGACGTTTCCTAATATCATTAGAGAAAGAACAAGATTCGTTGTACCGTTTTTACTCTAAATAAGCCCTATCAATTTTCTCTGAATTCAGTTTCCCCCTCTCGCGCGCGAAAGCTTTGACGTTTCCTCCAATTATTAGAGAAAGAACACGATTCGTTGTACCGTATTCGACTTTTAATAAGCCCTATTTGTCTGAATTCAGTTTCCAACTCTCGCGCGAAGCGCGGAATTTTTGGCGTTTCATCACAATATAAAGAAAGGAAGACGATTCGTCGTACCGTTGTTGACTCTTAAACCTTGTTTGAATTTATTTTCCCCAAAAAATTTAAACCTCTGATTTCTTTAACTGATATTATAGGAAAATGAAACTTTGAGAAAATACAAGTGTTGTAGTTGTAGTCACTCTCGATGGCGTCACAGCGGATAAGAAGTCACAGTTCGTAGGGAGAAAAACTTGTCGGCCGACCGACAATATACATCTCACCGACTTCAAACTTCTGCATTGATATAGTACACGAGAATAGAGCACGAATACCGACACAGCTGACCCGACACAGCAACATATTTACCCTGTCTTTCTTGCTCCCTCGACGAGACGACTCCACCCAACAACCCCCCCTCTCTCTTTTACTCCCACTCCTCCTCTCTCAGACTCTTACCTCCCCTCTCTCTCCTCTCTTTCATCCCCCGTTTCTTTTGTTTCCCTTTCACTCTTTTTTTCCTTTTCTTTCTTTT